CCCCTCCCTCTCTCAACGACGCTGTACCACAGTTTCCCCATTTTTCAGGAGTGGGGACGGTTTCATAGCGTTTTTTAACCCTTTCACTTCCCAAAGTGATTAACTTGTAACTTCTCCCTATAATAACCATACGTTCTCCAACAGACTAGAAATGAGAATACTTAAAATTATCAGGTACAAATTGTTATCTTGATCGAGCCCAAATTCTCTCAACTTGTTTACAAGGAAATGTGTAGCAGCTAGAAGAGAGAATTGACAATCAGTTCTTGGGAGTTAGAGGATTAATTGCGTGTTACTGATAAGAATGACCCAGTCACTCTAGGCCAAAATGTTTCTTGCTATTTTTGTTTGGCTTCCTTTTTAATACGACTTTTTTTTGTTCCACCGTTCATGTAGAACAGTTTCCTTGTCTATTTTGGGAGATTGAGTGCTGGCCATCGTTTGTCACGTTGCGCCGTTTTGTTTTTTCTCAGGCCGAATAAGTAGGTAGTCAGTAGGGTTACTCTTCAGTCACACTCGACTGGCCTGGTTTTTCACACTTCACGCATGCCTCGTTTCGCGTTCGCATGGATTATCACATTACGAAGCAGGTGCAATTTGAATGCTGCAAATTTAACCATTTGAAATCATGTTTACCTATACAAACACAGACGAAAATAACCGGTGTGCATGCTTTTTACACAGAAAAATTTACTGGCTTTTTCGAAAAAAACCAGCAGCATGCAAGTGTGGGTCGTATTAAATTATACCTCCCGAAATGTGATAAAATTATATGTTTGAGATAGCAACAGAGCGGTAAACAAGTTAAAATACATGAATAATTGGACCATTTACATCGATCTTCACACACATTCAAGCGGTACGATTTCACACTTTCAATATTGCAGCACCAAGTCCTGATTCAAATGGATATATTTCTATTTTGTCTAAATAATATTAATAAATAATTTAGGTGGCATTCGCTTGGTACTGAAAACCATAGTGATCTTCAAAGCGCACATTAGGATTTCAACTGTTAAGTTAGGTACTTTTTGATGTAAAGTTACTTACTCTCGATCGTGCGTGACTTTGGAATCGTGTAGAACCGATTTCGCCTCTTCATCGGCACGTGCGAAAGATCCGCCGAAGAGAGCAACAATGAAAATACACCGCATACTCAAGGGTGCCATCCTTATTTTTGATGTCTGTGTGCCGTAATATTCTGTAAATTACCAGGCTTGCCACAAATTGTCACCATTCGCTTAGACAATTTACGTATGCTAATTCAGCTAATTACTTTGTTAATGCCTGCGTCTATTCTTAACTTTATTTTCCGTCAAACCGAGACTACGTATGGAATTTCGATTGGTGAAAACCACAAAGGGATATCAAGAACAATTGAAATTTATCGCTTCATTGCTGTTTTCCATTGCAAATAGTCTGGAGAGATCTGTCCATTATCTCTTGTCCCAGGCTACAAATGATAAATTTGTGTCAAATTAAAGAATTTTCAAGTATCTTTTGATCAGCTTACTCGAGCTGTCTAGGCCTACAGCTTGATGATTCGTGTGAAGGCGCAACGCACCTCTATCGCAATGGGTTGGTTGTTACTCTTTACGTCCCAACATCAATGTGCAAGTTCTCCTTACTGTTATTTATACAATTTCTATGATGCTGACAAGGAGACCTTACTTAACAATCTGAAGCTTGAAGAGTTTGTGATCATTTCTTGTATTCTCATGACATTAATGTTTTATTCAGGGCTGATATTGTTGGGAGAATTTAGATGCTTGTTAGAGAAAAAAGAAACGATTAAGGGAGGGAGGTAGCTTTTCGTGCGCTCGATGAAAGTAATAAAGGAGTTGGACGTGAGAAAACGAGAGGTACAGCTGATTCCCTTTGTGACTCTGCCCAATAAAACTTTAACAAAACAGTCAGCTGCGCCGGTTAAGTAAAAGAAATCGAATCATGTCCTATCGTGACTAGTCTCGAGGACTGCTTGTTGTCGGTAAAAGTGACCAACGATTCGACAACCTATGCGGAGGTCATCATGTTTCATCAGAGTCGAGCGTTTACCATTCATTGAAGCACGGTGCGATTATTCTCAATGGGTATAAGTGTGGAAGCACTGTTAAGTGTTTTGGTATCTAAAAAAAGCCAAAATCTAGACAAGATCATTTCTGAGTAACCTGCAGTGCAGTTGCCGACGTCTTATTAGGGCGAGCTAACGTTTCTCAGGCCGGTCATGTTTGATTTGGAGTTAGAGTGGACGGTGGGGGTAGGGTGGGGAAAGGGCGAGAAGACTTCTCCCACCCCAGCCCTCTCCTTATTTTTGACTGTCGACCGTCCCCTGCAATTTGTCAAGCTAAGGAAGGCTAACTTAGATGCATCCTACCAAAAAGTCGAGTGGAGTTGTAAAAATTAGTATTTTGTAAAGTGGAGTAATTAGGTCTGTCCACATAAGATAGGGTGCGCGGCTCCAGATGGCGTAATACGCGATTGTGCCGTGCGGAAAAACCCAAATCCGAGAGCTTGCTTGCCATCGAAACAGATGGCAGAGAGAAGTCTTACAGGCGGCGGTAGACCGCCAATAACTGGCTTTTATTGAAACTCCAAGCGTTTAAGGTTCGAAAGATCTCTCTCGAAGGATGACGGTAGTCCTTTTTTTCTGTTCTATTCCAGTGAGTATTTGTTTGTTTTCGCTTCTTGTTACGTTTTGTTTGCTGACTTATATTTGGTTAGTTTTACTTAGCCTTTTTATGCTTTATGCTTTTTGTATTTTTTTAAAAAGTTGAATCCAAAGGGCACATCTCACAACGAACACTACGCATTCTTTAAAATTCTTTTCTCTTTATTTCATCTTTTTTTTTTCCAAAGAAGCTGCAATCGTTCAATTAATTTATTAAAGATATTTTACAGATCCTCTAAAGTTGATAAGATAACTAAAACTAGACATGACAGTTGAACAAGCCACTGTATACCTGAAAAAAAAATTACATAATACGATGAAAACAAACAAAAAAAAAAATTCATAACTCGTTTAATAGTTTTTAAGCTAAACCCATTACACCCAAACAAAAAGTTATGGTTTTTAAAAAGTTCTTGTTTTCCTTGGTAAAGTTTCTAAAGGAACTAGGGAGAATGTTCCTTCACAGGGCTGCTTTGTGCTTAGGATTATTTCATTAAACACAATTGAGGGGGCAACTTGGAGTGCTAATGTATGCACATATGCATGTATGTTCTATATGTTTATGATACGTATAGAAGAAAATTTTTAATTTAATTCTATGGGTATAGCCATTTGCTGCCAAATTTTACACCCAGAGAGTGACTGGTATCTAATTTCTCCTTACAGGATGACCCCTGAATCAAAAACGCACTAAAGAGGCTCTACACTGTTAAGCAAACTCTCCTTATCAATACCTTGGGAATTTTACTGAGGAGAGTAAGGAGAATATGCATATGGATGTTAGGGTAGAAACGGTTAATCCTTTAACCCCTAAGGGTGACTAGCATCTAATTTCCCCTTACAATATCACCCCTGTATCACACATTAAGGTAATGAGATGAGAATAAAGAAAATGATCAACAGCCCAAAGAAGCTCTTGATTGTTAAACAAATTCTCCTTGTCTGCACCTAAGGAAATGTATAGAGAACAGTATGGAGGATATGCAGACTGATGTTAGGGTAGAAAAGATTGATGTGTGTGAAATAGTCTTACAATGAGTAGTGAGGAGCAAAGAATCTCTGAGACTACAGTTTGGACAAAACTGATCAAAATCTTTTACAGGAATAACTGTTCTTCCTCCATCAGCTTCGTCCAAAAAAGTTTCTTTTTTTTCTTATTGTTTGTGTTGTTTTTTTTTTCATCTGAAGAAAAACAGCCAGTGATTAAAAATATGAAATTTGTCACCCACCAAAGGTATTGCAAATGAGGATGATCCACAAATCCAAAAACAGGAGCAGTTAACGAACAGCCAACAAGAGCCAGCTGTAAAACTGTGTTGGCCTAAAACAATGAAGGAAAGTTCAATAATAAACAGAGGCTCTTGCATTATGATACAAATTTGTCATGATTGGTTATCAAACAACTGGAACCACCAGATTAAAAAATGCCAATGTTGGCCTTTTTTTTTAACACATTTTTGCAAATCAAATTGTATTAAATAACTTAATCTTGGCACTAAGTGGTAGATAGTGTTAGCTTTCAGAACAGGCTTAATTTAAGCAAGCAAGTGCTCAATATTTCTTGATGAAAATTATGTTGCCATCTTTGATTTTACTGCAGCAGAGGGTAGAAATTGTTCTATGGGATTAAGGAAGGAAAAGGAGAGGAGAGGGTGTAGGCTAAGGGTTGTGCAGTTTAGCTCATATTTAAGAGTATGATATCTTAAACTGTGGGCAAATCTCACCAACAAGTGATTTCCATCAAATTTAATTACATCTGTCTTCACTACATTTTAATTCTGATTCTAGATTTTGGCTACAAAAGAAACTTCAAATTTTATAAAAGTTTATCAAGTTTAGAAATTTGCACATTCTTAAAGCTTTGAAAGTAAACTATATATAACCTTGGTCAGTAACTGATGCATGTATGCACTAACTTTGGTCTTGATAAAAAATGAAATTCTCTCCACTAAATCTTAAGGAAATGTAGAGCAATTGGCAGAGAGAAATAAAAATCAGATCTGAGGAGTTGACTGACCTTGCCAAGAAAGTTGGGTCTAAGCTCCACTGTAGGTAAGTTAAAATCAAAGTACCTGGAAATTGTTTTCTAAAGAAATCAACACAAAATTGTTTTAACAAGAAAATAAGACAAATGAACACATTTAAATACTGCATTGCCAGCATTTGTTTGTTGTGAAATACTAAAAAGATTGAGTGAGGTAAAACCTACCGGTGATGGAAGTGACTTGTATCTCAAGTAAAAAGCATAGCCAATCAAAAGGGCATCTCGACTCAGAATCAATGCGGTCAGGGTAACTAACAAGAAAGAGAGAAAAGAGGGTATCAGATGAAGTTCAAGAGGACTCTGAACTCAGTTTGAGCCTTGCAGTGCTGATAAGCTCACCCAAATTTGCAAATTTCAATTTGCTGCACCTTCTGCCATGCATTTCTTTATGCCATGCAGTGTTCCTTCATTGATAAAAAAGGGTTACAGCAAGTCATAGCACTGTATTTTATATCGCTGCATTAAAACATTTAACTTTGGTCTCAGACCTTCATGGCCAATGTTGTCATTTTTAACATAATCTTGATCAGTACTCTAGTTCTCGTTATCATTGAGATTTTTGTAATCATCATCATTATCACTATCATCATCATCATCGTCATCATCATCAGGGACCTTTTTATAACTTAGCTTAACTACACCTAACCCTAGCCATCTGACACACTCGTATTCTTTTAATGGTAAAAAAAAGAAATTACAACCTACAGTTACTTATGATATCTAAAAACAGTTTTGGTATATACTAGAAGGCATTAAAGGCTTGCTTCTCAAACTCTAACTATCTTTTGCTTCTCATCTCCAAGCAACTCACATGGGTATATGTGCCCAAAAAATTTGTAATTGTTGCAGGAATACATCTAAAAGAGATCAAATCATGTCTTTGGGCAATATTATCTCTGTGTATAGGTAAATACAGAAACAACTATTCAACCATTCATCTCACTGTTGGTGGATATTTCTGCTGTGCAACTTGCTTAATGCCTACCAATAACCACCTCCACTACTGTGGATAGTTGTTAACTCTTGATAAACTTAATTAGTTTTTTATTCTCAAGTCTAAATAATTTACCTGGTAGAAGAGACACAACAGTGAGAGATATGGTCAGTACAGACATCAGAATCTTGTCAGCAAATGGATCTAAAACTGTGCCCAGCACTGATTTCTGGTTTTTAAAATTTCTTGCAATGAATCCATCAAGCTAAATGAACACAGGGATAAGCTGTATGGTCATAATTCACCTTAAATACTTTTCATCATTTTTCTTGTAACAAGTACTGTCTCAAGTTGAAAGGATTTTCAAGATGTTTTAAGGTTAAAATTCCATGGGTAACTACAATCATACACAAATACATGTCTTTCTAATAGAGAGTCATCTCACAGGGATACAAACTGAAAGAAGGTTATGTAGTATATATTTAACTGTATAACCCCGAAGAGTGACTAACATCATAATATCACCCCTGTATAACCCATAAATGTGACAAGAATAAATGAGATAATCACTTATTATATAAGCTCTTGATTGTTAAACAAATTCTCCTTGTCAGCACCTTAGAAAATATACTGAGAACAGTATGGAGAATATGCATACTGATGTAAGGGTGTAAAGGGTCAATGAGTGCTTGGTTCAAGTTATTTTAATTGGACTCCATCCTGGACCTTTTGTCCCCTGACAGTGACTAGAATCTAATTTCTTTATACAATGTCACCCCTGAATCACACATTAAGGTCATGAGAAAAAAGGAAATGATCATCAACTGAAGAAGCTCTTAGTGCTAAACAGATTCTCCTTGCCTGCACCTTAACAAATGTATAAGGAGCAGTATGGAGAATATGCATACTGATTCTAGGGTGTAAAGGGTTAATGAAAATTCATTAAAGAAACACAAAGTGTGATTAAAGCATTGTTCACTCATATCATACCATGTCAGTGACACCAGCGACACCAAAGAAAATTAAAGAGCTGACAAAATCCTCTGTAACTATCAGATAGCCAAGAACTGGAGTGATCACTATTCTGAAGGTGGACAGCAGATTTGGCACTGTATAAATATCTTCTTTCTTTAAAAAAAAAATAATAATAATGAAAAGAAATGTAGCTTGCTGCTGCCTAGAAACTGAAATTGTCATTCACTCACTCTGCATAAATTCTATGTCAATTTGGGTGCAAAGCAACTTTGATCATCATTAGATAAATACATGCCTGTACACTCCCATCAAATAATTTTTTATCACATACTGACAACATAGTGCAAAAGAAAACTTGAAAAATATTTTTGCTTTGGTATTGGAAAGCACAATCATGCCCATGATGTGATCATGTAGTATGATCATCTTGGTGGGGGCAGTCCTGAGCAAGACCGTTGTCGATAGTGGTGACTGAGGTTTCAACAACCTTATGAAAGTCATTATCAGAGTCAAGTGAAGCATTGTTTTCAGTTGAGTGTCATGACTCTGATTTAGACAATCAGACAACATGATCAAAATAATAACAAAATGCCAGGCAACTTGAAAAAGGAGGCAATACATGTATCTCCTGATGGCTGCACAGGAGGCAAAAGTCATAGTCATTACCTTCCCCATCACCCTTCCGGCCCATGCCGCCTCTCGTTCACCTTACACACTTTCCTCCAACTAACCCCTAGGCAATATTTAGTTTTGGAATATAACATACCATTTCTTTCATCTTTTCCAGCTTCGTCTTGATTATTCCAGACACTGGTTTCGTCTTCCCAGGTTCCTCTACACCTCGCTGAAAATGAAAAGAAGTGGATCTATAAGTTCTTGATCCTTCCATCTTCCAAAACGTGTAGACGTCTTCCTGCACACATCTTCCGTGTTGCCAAATGAAGCCTCCAGAACGACGATCTTCAGACGAACGTCGACATCCGAGAAAACTGAAGGTAGAGACGAAGGTAGCAGGTATGATATATTTTGGTTTAAAAGACAGGAATTTGGTGTTAAAGCATCCTTTTAGGGTTGAAGTCAGGCGAAGTATTTGGCAATTGCCGCAAACACCCGCCATCTTTCGTCCCTGTAGGAGCCAGTCTCTGTCGGAAAAGTAACACAGCGTAAAGCCTGGGTATCAGGACAAAAACATCATGGCGGCTGGAAAGGGCATCGTAAGAGGTGTCCAAGGGTTTTTCAAAAAACCAGCCGTAAAAAAAGTTGTAGACACCCTCTTTCCAGATCCCATGTCGAGATTGAAATACCAAGAAATTCTGTGGGACTTCAGCGATAAGGAGTCTCTCGAGAAGTGGACACTGATTACAGATGAACAGTTTGGTGGCAAATCAACAGCTGAATTTGTACAAAGCCCTGGGGGAAAGGCAGTGTTTCGAGGGAATCTGTCGACAGAATTACCTCAAGCTACAAGTGTCAAGTACAGTGGTATGTGTGCTATCAGGGCGCAGCCGCACAGGGTTAGTTACACGCCACATAGACTTAACCCCTTTAACTCCCTTGAGTGACTAAGACAGAATCTCTCCTTACAATATCAAAACAATATCAAGCAGACGAGTGATGAGAGTGAGAAATTATAAATTCATAGATTATAAGTAAATCAAATATCAAATTATCAGGAAAACATCATAGGAATTGTATGGTACACAGTAAGGAGAAATACTTATTAGATATTGGGATTTAAAGGGTTAAAGATAACAGCCACAATGCAAACCTGTACTAATTTGGATAAATCAGTGAAGAACTTTTAATCCTTCAATATCATAAAATCATTTGAAGTTTGAGTGATTCAAGATTTTCATGAAATACAGACCCTGAAATAAAATATATTATCATATTGGCAGATAACAACTTGCCTTATATTGTGAAGAAAAAATTTTTACTGCATTTTTTTTCTCTAGATGATCCTGACATTTGATTCAGCAGTGATACAGTACTTAACCCTTTCACTCCCAAGATCTGATTCTCCCCTCTAGCTGCTTCACATTTCCTCTTAAATAAGTAACAAGAATTTGGTGTTAAATCAGGAAAACAACCTCTACTTGACAAGTTTAAGTATTCTTGTTACCTCTTTGCTAGATGATGAATGAATTTTATTGGGAGAAGTTACATGTCTATCACTTCTGGGAGTTAAAGGATTCAGGAGAATTTAGATACAAGTCACTGTTAGAGATTAAAAGGTTAAACAGGACCTTATAATTAGCAAATTAATGTTTTTTCTTTCAAATCTTGGATCTAATTGTTTGGAAAGACGAAATATATATATATATGTGTGTGGAAACACTCCTAACTAGGAATTATTTGGTTATTCTCCAGGACTGGAAAGGTGATGTTACTGCAAATGATGTAACAGATTATGATGGCATTGTAATGAGAGTGCGAGGTGATGGTCGAACATATGCACTGAATGTTCAAACGCAGAGCATCAGAGATGATGATATTCATCAATCTTTCTTTCATACAAGAGGAGGACCACTTTGGGAGACAGTAAAGGTACAGTTTTGAGAAAACATACACATAACTTTTACAGCAAACAGTAGGACTCTAAGGAATAACAATTGTGTTGTTAAGGGGGGTTAAGTTACTAGAGAAACTGTGGAGCTGTGTCAATGGGGGGTATTAGAAGATAATTTGGATCTATCAACTGACGAAGGTTAGCATAAGGAAATCTTTATGGCAGCCAACTTGCATTTTCTGTTCAGTTAGTAACACCAGATACGTCAGTTTAGGTAGTGTTTCCAACCCTTAAACTCAAAAGATCAAACTTTTGATTTTACCCATGAGCTGCTACCATCTCCATAAAATTATTTGGAGAATGTGGTATTATGTCAAGAAAACAATCTCCAGTTGATACTGAAGTTATCTACTCTCATTTGCTATTGAATAGATTGCATAAATTGGTACTTTTGGAAAGTTTGCATATGTACATGTATATTCAAGTTTAAGAATGCACATAGGATGTATGTTGTAGTTTAAGATGATTCCTGGGTAAATTACTAAATACCAGAGGGAAGTGAAGAGCAACCAAAGTAAACTTAGAAGTGAACTTAGCATTTGTATCTGAAAGGTTGCACAGGTTGCTCAAGCTCCAGCTGTGAGATGATCATCTTTCGTAATAAGCATTATGGCATAAATGTAAGAGTTTTATGGCAATATTTAACATTAACATTTACCATCTTCCCCAAACCCCAATCCCTTCCCCCCCACCTCTTCATGCACAAGCCACTGAATGAGACCTTTGTTCATTCAGGGCTCATAAAGCTAAGGCAACATAGTCACAACATTAGACAATGAGCATCATGATATGGTCATTCACTGTACTACATTTTCTGATGCAGTGAATACATTTCTTACCAGGTGCCATTCACAAAGTTTGTCCTGACCAATGCAGGTTACTTACAGGATCAACAGATGGCATTTCCAAGGATACGCACATTAGGCTTCACGTTAGCAGACTGGAACACAGGACCATTTCATTTAGAAATTGACTACATTAAGCTGGTTATGTTTATGTACCAACCAAAACATTTCAAGTACCACTGGCAAAGCAAAGTTTAGATTTTTTCCAATCCAGCCCCCTTTATGAAATTTTCCAAGTTTCCCATGACTGCTAAATGTTTCAGTGGGAAAATGCTAGTTTGAATTTGTTTGTATTGGCCTCTGTTCAGTCTCAATTTGGGCTTGTATTCACCGACTAAATATTTGATGTATTTTCATGTACAAAATAAATTTTGAATCGTAATCCAAACTTTACCCATTGCAAGTTACACGTGAAAAAGCTAAACAACACAGATAAACTTTTTCTTCAGAGCACTGTCCTTCAATTTAGTAAACAGGTAAATGCCTCTCACGGAAATTTCAAATGCAGATGATGACAAGAAGTTTGGACACTTGGGTGTCAGTCTTTTTTTTTTTCGGCCTGGAAAAGATGTGGTATGATTTCTGAAATAGCTTGCGAGCATAGCCTCATGATTAGCTTTTCAGCAAGAGCGTTTTTTTTCTTTTCGCCAGCGGGAAAGTTTGACTCCTTGATACCAGACCCCCGGTAAACCTCTCCGATTCGTCTCCAACCTTCCCGCAGGCGGAAAAACGTTTATCCAGCAGCGCTCGCTAAGAATAAGAGCCTGCCCGCAGGCTATTGCATTAAACTTTTACACCCTAGAATCAGTATGCATATTCTCCTTACTGTTATCCATACATTTCCAAAGAAGCTGACAAGGAGAATTTGTCAAACAGTCAAGAGCTCCTTTGGTTGTTGATCATCTACTCTATTCTCACGACCTTTATGTTTTATTCAGGGTGATATGGTAAGGAGAAATTAGATGCTAGTCATTCTGAGGGGTTAAAGGGTCAATCACGTCTTTCTCGTGTCTTTCTTTCCTGTAATTTTTTTGCCAAGATACCAGTCATGAGGCTTGCGCGCAACGATTTCCACTTGCAATGACTTATTTCTAATTTATGTTGGGCAACTCGATCGCGTTTTTGAAAGTTCCTCAGAGTACATGTACGGTATGCAATTCTTTAGTCACCGTACCTGTGAAAAAATACGAGGTGACAGATAGACATAATTGCAGAGAAAAAAGGAAACGCAAACAGTCAACGAAACTACGTGGTATTTGCGTCATAACTGTTTTTGGTCGTATCGTCATCTTTTCAGAATTTTCAGTACTGGACTTCTTAAAGTAATATGAAAAAAAAGACATGTTGAAATTATATCAAACGGACTTAAAAAATTTTTGATAAATGCGTGTGAGGAATTTTGATTGTCGCAAATTACTTGATGTTCTTGTTTAGAACCCTCAGCTCTCACGTGGAAATTGTTTCAAACGCCCTAACAATTCTTAAGGAATTCTGTTCTTCAGTGAACCTTTTTATAATAAGTCCCCATGGAATGGGTGGACAAGCACTGAAAGCTAGCAGGTTTCACAAGCGTACTCCTTTCACATCTGCGAAAGACTGCCTGAGAAGCTGCAAGAAGCACTCGGAAAATAGCAGGGTAATGGAGGGTTTGAAAGGCATAGAGGGCATTACTGACAGAAAGCTTGTTTGCGAAATGAAAGACGTGCTGAATAATTTGATTTCCCAGTTGTCAGCTGCCGGTCTTACAGTCCACGTGCTTCAAAATCGCGCTGTTGTTACGGAACGAAACGAACTGAGAGCGTTCAACGTTTTTGATGGAGAAACAGCCTTGCAGTTTGTGAATCAACCAGAGCATGCCGACAAGATTATTTCTTTCAATTCTGAACGATTTTACTGTCATACAGAGTACTTGGTTCTTAGAAGTCAGTATTTTCGGGCTCTATTTTGTGGGGTCTACCGCGAATCAAGCATGGACTTTATCTCCGTTCACCTTCCGGCGCCTGGAAATATGGAGCCTATTTTGCGCTTTATGTACTCGGGTATTGCAGAAGACGCGCTATTCGAAGCTCACGAAATGTTCAGCACGATTCAAAATGCAAATTTCTTGGGTGTCGAGGAACTGTTGATTAAGGCAGCCGAGAACTTCGCCTCGAGGTGGAAATTTTACGCCGTTTCTCCTCTGTTTAGGAGAAGCATCGTTGATTCTGAATTTTTATCATCAATTTTAGAGTTGGGAACAAAAAACAGCGTTTTCAGCATGGGAGATATGCTAAGAATTGTAGTTTGGTGGAATGAAGAGGAAGAAAGCTCAGAATGTAACTTTTCCGAGTCAATCCGTCTTCTTATGGAGCACAAATGCTTAGAGGAATCGAGCTTGATGGATTTGGAATGGGCGCTGGGCAAGAAACCTCCGCTGTTTTGCTTTATTGAACAGTCCGCGTTCCGCCCAGTGTATCAACGCGCGATTCAGAATTCCGCGCGCGCACTCGAGAAAATACGTGTGCACGAGGACAAAATCAAGAGTCTTTCTCAATGCGTGCGCACATTGACGAGACAACTCGAGGAAGTCCGCTGTAACAGATGCCAAATGTTCCTTCCTCGGGCAGCCATGAAGACCAGAACCTGTATTGTGACGCGACATCAGGGAGAGTACGTGGTGAACAAGGGATGGAGTTGTTGCAGGCAGCTGATTAAGAGAAGCAAAGGATGTAAACCTGTCAGTTTGTCCAGGCACTGCATGTCTTTGAATGCAAGGGCAAGATGATTGACGTGGTTACCGTTGCTGTGACAATGCCAGAGCTCTGTGTAATGACAATAGAAGGTGATGTTATTCGTGATAACTTTGTGAGCCCCGCAGTTAGGAAAACCCTTTACATGACCCTCGTCAATTTATAGTGTTATTAATCATTATTGATATATTATATACAAATACCATTTCTTAATTTCTTTTAGGCATTAAATTTCCTCTTGGCGAGTTTTAAATTAATTTAGGTAGATATAAATTTTCTTTACAGAAGGAATTATTTCTTTTACGGTGTCTTTTACAAAATTGTTAAACATGAGTTTCGTTATTGACGTTTTACGATATTCAGATGAATTTTCAGGTTGTGACACGAGTTTTATATCAATTTATTTTTAAAAACACAAGTTTTCGTTCAATTTATTTTAAAACTTTTTGAAAAATAGTTTTGAAAACCATATTGATTGTCTTGGTGTATTTATTTAAATGAGACTAAGAATTTACTTTCGAACCCTCTCTGCTCTATCTTTGCCCCAATCTTTTTTTTTCCCGTTTTAAGAAATACTCCTCACCACCCCTTCCCCTCCCCTTCAAATCTAGACGTGGCCTCTTATTGGCAAAGGAATATACAAAGATATGCATAGGATATGTTATTCTTCGTAAATCAAATACTTCTAGCATAGAATTGATTCCAACCAATTCATGAACAAATTAGATTGATTTAATCAAAATGACGGAAATCTGTCGGAAATTTGATGGAACCGGGAGAACCAGCCAAGCCCCCCCCCCTTAGGCAACCCCTGGACATTTGAACTTTTGAAAATTGTTTTGTTCAAATTCCCGTCCGTTTGGGCCAAAATTGTGCCCCACCCAAGTGCCAAATTTGATGATCAACCGTTTCGAAAAGACAAAATTAGCGACCGTTACTTTCAGTATTCATCGACCAAGCTTCAAAACATGAACGTTTTTTAAATTTTCTTCTAAGCCATGCCCTTCAGAAAGTGAACTCCTAACCTCGAATTGAAACACCTCGATGTTTAAGATAAACACTTGTGCTCCACTGGGCTCCTGACTGGATAGACTTGACACTTCCAGTTCAAATTCCTCACCCCAGCCAGGCAAGGTTCAAATTGTCCACCCCCGGGCAAGGACGACAGACCCGTGCGTTGTCCGAAGGGGGAGGAGAATGTTGAAGCTTCTGATTGATCGGCGCATAATTCAGACGTAACCGTCCAAAATCTCACGGACCTTTTGCATAAGAAGTCAGACACACAGCAAGTGGACCAAGGGGAGGTTGGGATCTAGAAAGGATCCAGTTCCTGCTCAGTAACCGCGCCTTACTTTTGTCAGAACAGTCTCGTAGTGGAAATCTTTTCTCAAAATTCACATATTTTTAACTAGATGGATAGAAAAATGGTGTCTTATTGCCGTGCTTGTGGGCTCTTACTGTTCCTTTCTCTATTTTCTTTGATAAAATCTGACGATACGCAGGCTGCGGAGATGCATAACCCTCTACACGATTCAAAACTAACACACGATAAAGAGTAAGTGTAAAATCCTTATAGTTAATAGTTTCAGATGTAATATTATTTGTTCTAAACCAATAATAACGTTTCTGTCTCCCTTTGCGTAAGGTTTTTCGTATGTTATTTATTTTCAATCTATTTTCGAGCTAATTGTCTCGTTTTATTAAGGAACCAACCACAAAATGACCGTAGCGTATTAACTTATTACACGTGTATTGTATGAAGCCTTGTCCATCGATCAACTTTTTGATTTTGAAATGAGTAGTGTAAGATAACATCAATTGTGATGATCTGGAAAACAACTGGTTGGTACGAGCCAGCAGTTACGTATTGCCAATCCTCTCATTGTAGAATTCCCAAATATTTATCCTTTTCAGATTTACAATCCAGAATCATTTTTTTCCCCTCTGAGATCTCACATGCAAGTCACAAATCTCCTTTTTTTGTAATTAGATAAATCTAGCATGCTAGAGAGACAATGGGAGATCCTCTGTTTAGTTTGTGTTGCAAATAGGGCACTTTTTTAATTAACTTCCAGAAAAGATTAACATGTAACTTCTTCCCATAATAGTTCCATACATTAACCAGCAAACAGATTACAAGAATACCCAAAATCATCAGGTAGAAGTTGTTATCTTGGTCTAAAACCAAATTCTCGCTACCAATATACTGGGAGGTGTGTAGCAGCCATAGGAGGGAATTAAGAATCATATCTTGAGAGTAAATGGATTAAGTCAAAAACATGGTAGAATACGTTCTCTGACTGACATTTTTATTCAAATTGCAGCCATATCAAGGAACATCTTAAGGATGAAATTGACTTGAAGGATGAACAGATGTCTGACGAGGATCTCCAATTCCACTACTTTAAACTGCATGACTATGACAATAATAACAAATTGGATGGAATTGAGCTAATGAATGCCATGACTCATTATCATGATGAAGAAGGTGAAGGAAAGAACCCACAGTATAGTGATGATGAAATGGGACATATGATAGATCAAATTTTAGATGAGGATGACCACAACAAAGACGGCTATATTGATTATCCAGAATTTGTAGCATCACAGAAGTCTTAACATACAGAGATTGAATATTATATGTTTGTGTTTTTGAGAAAATAA